AATCAATTCATTTGGATGTGGTGCTGGAAAACAGTGCTGAGGATATCATGGATGGCCAAGAAGACAAACAAATGGGTTCTAGTACAAATCAAGCCCAAACTCTTCTTGGAATCCAGGGGGCGAAGCAGACGGCTCAAAGGGCCATTTTGGGGGCAAGGAAGGGGAGGGGCAGCTGCACGGTGGGCGCCCCATCCCCTTCCCGAAGGCATCGTCGGAGCGCCGGTCCCTCTGCATGGCCGGCGCTCCGACGATGCCTTCCTGCCACAGCGTCCACACACACTGCGGTGGAAGAGTCGCCGAAGGTGTGCCGCCAGCCTTTTGCGGTGCACCTTCAGCGACTTGTGGAAGGAGCACTATTTTAGTGCTCCTTCCAGGGGAGGCGAAGGTGCGCTGCGGGGCGGAGGTGTGGGGTTACCTCGGCCCCGCGGCACAGCTTCCCGGGGCGGCCCACAGCTGCCTGTCTGCTTACCCCCCAGGATGACTAAATTGAGGCTGTCAGACTTTGGCCACAACATGAGAAAGTGTGAATCATTAGAAAAGACAATAATGCTAGGAAAGGAAGAGGGTAGTAGAAGAAAAGGGAGACCAAATACCAGATGGTTGGACTCAGAGTGGCCATGGGACTGAGCCTGCAGAGCAGTAGAGGACAGGGAATCTTGGAAAGGACTCATCCATGGGGTCGTTATGAGTTGAGATCTACTCAAGGGCAGTTAACAACAATAATATACCTTATACACATAGCCTTAAAGTAAGTTTATACAATGTTTTAAGTAATTTTGTGCACAAAACAAAGTTTGTGTACACTGAACCATCAGAAAGCAAAAGTGTTGCTATCTCACCACCTATGAAAAAAGTTTTGGTTTTTGAACTATTTTGGACTTCAGAATTCCAGATTTAAGAGGTACTCAACCTGTATCATAGATCGTAATTATGGGGGGGAATTGGAGTTTCCCAGTGTGTTAACCTTTTTAAAGGAGACTTAAATATACAAAGATGTAAGATAAACCTGTTAGTCTGTATTTCATTAGCAGAACAACAGAAATGTGGCCCTGAATATTTTTTATCTAAACTTTCCTTTCCTAAAGAATGAAGACTGACCCAGAAAGACAACAAACATGTAGTTTGTAGTTTAAAAACAACAATAATGGCTTTAATAAATAATTACATAACAAAAATTAAATCCTAATCTAACTAAAGATGGTTTGGGTAAAGAGAGAAAGCATTGCCATCTTTTATATAGCAGGAAGATGGAGAAGAGGCATGTTAGACTAACAGTCAAACTAGAGACTGACTGTAAGACTAACAACTTAGAACAGGGGTTGGCAACCTATGGCCTGCGGGCTGGATGCGGCCCCCGGAGGCCTTCAGATTGGCCCCTGCCTGGTCCGGCCGCCACCGCTGCCGCCACCTTTCGCACCCGCAGGGGTCCCCCAGGACACCATTTTGGATTCCAAAATCGCTCTCAGAGTCTCGCGTGACTTTTCCCATCGTGGGAAATAAATAAATAAATAAATAAATAAATAAATAATAATAATAAAATTTATTTATATACCGCCCAATGGTTGCCCAATCCGGGCAGTTTACAGCATAAAACAGTTACAATAAACAACATATCTCCCCCCCCCCTTAAAACAGTATTAAACAAAGACATAGTTAAAATCCTGGTGACAATATAATGAAAGATCATAACAATTAAAATAGTAAAAACCGTACCACATCACCCCATTGTTACACTACAGGGGAACCAAGGTTCAAATAGTGTCGCTGAAAGAGGAGGGAACAGCCCAAAGCTTGGCTATTTTAGTCTGGAAAGGCCTGCCAGAAGAGATCCGTCTTGACAGCCTTTTTGAAACTGTCCAAAGATGTTAATTGATGGATCTCATCTGGCAGGTTGTTGCATGAGGGTTGCATGAGACTCCGGGTGCTATTTTGGAATCCAAATTGGCACCCCGGAGGAGCCCCATGGTGGCGCTGGGCCTCTCAGAGGCCCGACACTGCCGAGGGAAGCCTCCTGGGGGGTGCGGCGGTGCTGGGCCTCTCAGAGGCCTGCCGCTACCGAGAGAAGCCTCCTGGGGGGGCCCTGCAGCAGCGCTGGGCCTCTCAGAGGCCCGCTGCAGTTGAAGGAGCCCTCCTGGGGGCCCCTGTCGTCATGCGCATGTGCGCGCAATGTGAGGAAATGGCTGCCATTTTGTTTTTCAAAATGGCAGCGCGCGTGGGGGGCAAGCGAGCGCGCAAGTGTGTGCTCATGCCATTTCTCCCCTCCCTACTGACCTGTCAGCAAAAAAGGTTGCTGACCCCTGGCTTAGAATATTGAGAGAGAGAGAGAGTCTTAAAGAGATAGAGACCTAAACAGGAATCTCTATCTATATAAAGAGGGACAAGATAATGCAATGCATAATTCTTCCAACAGTAATACATAGTGGTAGAATTTGAGTGCAATAGCTAGCAGGTGGCATGTACCTTATTCTAATAAGGTAGTATGGTGGCACAGAGAGGAAGGTGTTTGGATCAGGCTTAACAGAGTTTCTGGGTGAAAGCAACTGGCACTACATTGAGAAAATGTTTCCATGTGCCACCTCCACAAAGAATGGAGAGAAATGATGCCTTCACAATGGACATTATCACACGTGGGCCACAAAGTGATAATAAACTGGAAATGACAAATTCCGAAAATAAACCTTGATTCCGCAAATGGTTTTAACACGTAATTACATTAATTGCGCAATTAAGGAAAGCTCCCCCTGAAACCGCATTGAACGTTCACACACAAGTGAGAAAATCCCATACATGTACTAGAAATGAACTTCTAGTACATGCGCACTATGCTCGCCACGGCTGTCACTTACTGCGGCTGTCACTCGCCACGGCTGTCACCCCTTCCCCAGGTCGTCCTTGGAGCAGCTGGCTGGTGCTCCGAGGAGGACCTCCTGCCGCAGCATTCTCCGAGGAGGTCCTCCTTGGAGAGCCAGCACTCCGAGGGAGTCCTCCTTGGAGAGCCAGCCCTGCATGGGGTCGGCGCTCCGAGGAGATCCTCCTTGGAGAGCCGGCGCTCCGAGG